AAGGAAAAACAGAAGGGGAGAGGGACAGTGAGAAAGGGGGGAGAAAAAAAAATAAAGATCTCCTGGATCACCTGTTGAGAGAAAAATAGAAAACAAGCAAAAAAAAACAAAGCAACATACTAAACACAACACCATCGCATTAATCTAGCTAAGTGTAAACAGCAGTAAATACTAAATATTCAATGTTGTTGTGCAGCACGCAGGACAGATGTGCTTCGAAGTAGCGGCCAAGAAAGGTGTAATTTGGGTCTACGAGCAGTGAACACCCGTGTGCATACCTGTGTGGATCAGCGCGCTTGTATTCCAAAGGTTTCTCCATGTAACGATCTGCTAGGGAGTGTGGGGGGCCACAGCCCCGTCCTCCGGGGTGTGAAGCGGGTATGGAGGAGATCAAAACTCCAGACATCCAGAGGCCCCCAGAACACAAGAGACCATGGAAGACCAACAGAGGGGCAGCCGCGCCACTGTTCCAGTAAGAGCTGAGGAGAGTCCCAGATGAGGGTTCACTCAGCAGCTGCGGAGCAGAAGCCAGGGGGAGTTGCAGTGACGCGCCCATGAGCTCCGCCGGCCCCCAGCTGTGCCTGAGTGACCGAGCCCCAGGCCGAGAGGCCGGGGGCACCCCACCTCCGAAGGGGCCCGAGCGAGCCCCAGGCTCCAGGCCCCGATAAGCGGCCGCCAAGGAGTGAGCCGGTGTGTACCTGGACGCCCACCCCCAGACACAAAGAACCACCAACGCACCGACACCTGAGGGAGTCCGCCACCGGCAGGGGAAGTGGTGGTGGGTGGAGATAGGCCTCCAAACCTTGGAGGGCCTGAGGTGTCCCCAGAGAGGTGGTGTCTGATACCCAACCTGACATATAGACACAGACATACAGGCACACACAGACACAAACATCCATTCCCACCCTCATGCTCTCATGTGCACTTACTCCACACTCAACCAACGTGGAGACAGACATAAAGAGACGCTGTACACACGATCACACTCCCCAAGCGTACTCTACAAACCGGGTCTAGGTACCCTTGCCCCTGGAGGGGGAACTGCACCCAGACCCAGGTGGTGTTACCCTTTTCCCTGCGGTGGGGAGAGGCAGACCACCCCGACTCCGTAGCAGCAGGGAGGCCCCACACCCCAGACCGCAGTCTGACGGCCAACTCCTCCTAGCCCTCCCGCTCCAGCAGGCCGCAGAGAACGGGGGTGGGAGAAGACTCCAAACCTCCCTCCACCCGCTCATTGTAGTGTTGATGCATGTGTGTTCTAAGGTGCAATTAAAACCCAGGAGGGCATGGAGCTACCTGCCAAGGAGCAGCAGGTAAGCGCATGGTCCCTCCTGATAGCCCTTAATGTCTAAGTGTATTTAAAATTGAGAGGTGGGCAACGACGCCAGGGGTGAGGTGTACACCCTGATGGTAATTTGGACTCCGTGATTGTGCCCACCCCCAAGATCCTATATGTATGTGTAATGAGAGTGTGAATAATGTGAATGTCTAAGTTGTGGGATAAAATTGAGGCAGAGGCAGCCAGAAGGGGACAGAGGGGGGGGGGGGGGGTAGCCTCCTCTGCACATACCCCTACTCCAAGGCCCTGCATGTGTGGGTGGTTGTGGTGGAGCGGGAAGAGGGAGGCAGCTGGAGATGGGGAGGGAAGGAAGGGAGGGGCAGGTAACCCCTCCCTGGGGCCAGCTCCCCCGCTGACCCCAGTAGGCACTCCCATACTCCGCGACCCGCCAGGGAAAGGGGGCCCAGGCCCATCCAGACCGGGGCCCAGTGCAGCAGCGCCCCCCGGCCCCACAGAGCCCGGGACAGTCCACCCAACCCCACCACAGAGAAAACTGCACCCACCCCACCATCCACTCATCTTCCAGACTACATAAGACAGTAAACGCCCAGGCTGAGATCTTCCTCCACCTCTCCTGTATCTCCCCCTCCTGCAGAGAGAGTTCCTGAAGAGAGGAGAGCTCCTGCAAGATGTGACCATCTCCCCCACCAGTTGAAGAGCCCCCCAGGTGGCTCGACGCACCGGCGGCACCCTGCTCCAGGGCTGGGCCCCCATGCACCCACCCGCCCACAACCCCGGCAACACACCAACCAGGACCCAAGCCCCAAGGCCCGGCCCGGGCCCCAGCCCAGAGACGGAGCACCCCCAGAACCTCACGCCCATCCCGGACCCACCCAGGGCCAGCCAGGCTACCAGGTCAGTAACCCACGTCCATCAGCACAGACCCTCCCCTAGCCCCGCTGCACGCAGCCGCGAGGAAACAGTCACCTGAGAGCCAACAGAGCCCCCAACCGGACATGACCGCTACCCTGGGTTGAGCCCCCCAAGGAAGATGCCTCTGGGGAACCCCCCGACGTCCTAAGCCTGTCCCTACCCCCACACCAATCACAACAGTGAAGGCGGGACCAAACTATGACCCCCCACCCCCACTAGGTGATGGAGCTGATAAAAGGAACCCAGAGCAATTGATCTGATGTGGTGGCAGAGGCTGTGTCAAGACTAATGTAATCTAATAGATAATTTCTATATTGGTTAGAATTAAGATTATTTTTATTTTTCCAGTTCATGAGGACTGTTTTCTTGGCTATGCATAGGGCAGTGAAAATCATATGGGCTATATTCTTTTCTGAAGTGACATTATCTAAGCTGCCCAGTAAACACACTAAGGGGGAAGTTGGAATGTTACATTTCAGACACTTTGATAAGTCTTCACATATCTCGCGCCAAAACTTTTGCACTGGTGGACAGAACCGAAGAGCGTGAATGTAATTGTCTGGTGTATTGCCTTGACAGTGTGAGCATTTGTTGGAAGATGTAAAGCCCATCTTGAACATCCGATGACCTGTATAGTGCACTCTATGTAGTATTTTGTATTGTATTAATTGCAGACTGGGATTTTTAATTAATTTAAAGGTTTTTGAGCAAATCTGAGACCAGAAGTTTTGGTCTAAGCTGACTGATAAATCTGCTTCCCACTTTGCAATAGGAAGGGATATTGATATTCTATTCTATTCTATTCTATTCTATTCTAATTAAATAGCTTGAACTTTTTGGGAAAACATATCAGTTATTTTTTTCAACTATAGGACAAGTAGCTCTGAAGACTGTATTATTTTAACATAGTGAAGTTAAAAAAAGCTTACTGTGCACAAAAATGTGGTAGCAGCTAACACATTGCACAAGTACAAAACCTCAGAATTAAAAATCTGTTCCAAGTGGTTCAATTAGACATATGTTTTTTTCCCCTGTGGCTATTTTACGCGCACAGTGCAGAATTTTTACTTTCTGTTCCCAAAACCTGCATCTTCCATTACTCCTATAGTGATAAAAAACAATTTAAAAAACATGCTTTTTTCTTCTTGCACACCTGCCCTGCTATCAGCTGATTTCAGTTTGTATGCAGAGAGGAATAACATAGCGGCGAAATCTGCAGCTTTAACCTCCCGAAATCTTTCATGGCATGGATTTTTAATTTCTCTTTGCTATTTGGGCTGATTTGGACCTGATCAATGAAAAAGCAAAGAATTACCAATTATTTATTTTTACCTGATTTTTCTTTCTGTGAAAAATTTGATCCACATGCGGACATTCGTTTTAAATTTTGATAGAACAGTGGCAGTACAAGTCCTCATAGGTGGATATCAGGCCATTGTAGAGCAAAATTTAGTATTTTGGTCTAGACAACCCAAAATGTGATGTCCACAAAGGAGTAAAGATGCGGACATTACTTTTTCTTTTTATTGCACAAGAGAACAAGAGCATGATAGTAAAGTGCAAACTGTGTGAAAAGAAACAACTTTATTGTATGGCTCTTGTCAAGCATCTGCACAGACAAAATGCTAATACAAAGCTGTTTGTGTTGGCTGACCCCAGCAAAGCTGCCAGAGCCTGATCTTCATCATGTAACATGGTAGACATATCAGTATTGTAGTCTTGTAGCCCAATTTTTACCTGGACCTGTTTCTAATAAAACTCTAAGAATTGCTGTGGCAGGTGGTTTGAAATGTCTTTGGACTCGTTTCCATCTCTTCTTCGTGTTAATGGTTTTATGTTCAAACACAAGCACTAAAAGAGAGATCTTATGTGTCCTAAATAGGACTGGGATTGTCCCAGTATGTGGGCCTGTCTGGGACGAGAAGAAAGTCTGCACTAGACTGTACATTTACATGTGATACGGTTAAAAGAGCTTACTGTGCACCAAAATGCGGTAGTGGCTAACACACTGCATGAATAACAGAGCCCAAAATTAAATATTAAATTTCAAATAGTGCAATTGGACACATTGTGGCTGCTTTGTGGCTATTTTTTGCATTTCATGCAAAAGGGTCACTTTCTGTTCCTGAATCAATTTCATGAAAAAAAAAATTAAAATAGATGTATTAGTCACTGTTCTCAGCTTCACAACATAGACCATGGGTTTAGCAGTGATTCAGAGGCAACATTATGACATTGTATTATTTAGCATAAACTTTACCACATGTAGGATATAATATCACATATACAGTGTATTTTTGTGTGGTAGTTTCCAAATTTTTACTTTCACAGCCTTTGATAATCCACATTATTGATTAAATTGATATATGATAAAATGTGCATGCCCTCCAACTGCTAGTGCTGATGAGTTGAAATAATTAAAAAAAAAAAAGAGAGAAAACATTTCTTTTAAAAAGAGTTTGTAGTTTAAAAAATTGTAAAAACAGTGACAGAAGTCTGTGTTCCAGATTTTTTTTAACAGAGTTTTAGGTTTCAGTACTTTAATTCTTATTTGGTACTTTATTAAATGTGAGATAGTTATTTTGTACAGCCGAAGATGCTTTTACTGTCATTTCCCATGCTTAAGTGCAAATTCTCTGTGTTGCTGTAATCCAAATCAGAAAATAGAGAAAACAAAGTGATACATAATCTACAAACACACCCACATCCACTTCCTCACATCCACAGGATAGTGGGAGTGTTCGCAAATTAGAGGGTGCTGCTGCAGTCCCAGTGCCACAATCAAACACTTTAGAGAGAGTTTTGTTCAGCTCTGCTCTCTGATTCACCATGAAGCTGTACGTGATTATTCCACTGTGTGCTCTGCTCACATTCACCCAACAGGTAAGAAATACTGAAGACTTCATTTCAATGGGTAAATATCCTTTTTGAATAAAGCGACAAATACCAAATACCACTAAATGCTGCTGCTTATTTCACTTGAAAATACATTTAAATTTCAGGCTCCTCCACGAGAAAAGTGTGCATGCGAGCTGAATAACTCAGAGAAGGCATTCCCTCATGAAAAACTCAGGATAGTTGAAACCAACGTATCAGACTGCAACAGCAACATCACCCCGCAGAAGGTAACTAGTCTTTTAAAGCTCTCATGCTGTGTGTCTCCATTCCTGCTTAATCACTGCTGCCTCTGCAGACTGTGGAGCTGGAGAGTCTGCTGCTGGGGTTGGAGCGTCGTCTTTCCCAGCTGAACAAAGACGTGCTGATCCTGGAGAAGGAGGATGACGGAGAGCTGTATGGAGTTCTCAGCTTGTATGTTATAGAGAATGAAATGACTGAGATCAAGCAGCTGATTGACAAGCTCAACAGCACCACCCAGCAACACCAGATCCTCACTGCTAACGCCACTGAACAGGTAGATTCACAACCACATGCTGCAAAACACTGACATCTGTATCTTTGTCCCTCACTCTGTTTATGATCTTGTAAACAATCAAAATTTGTCTCAGCTGGGGAACTTTAAAGCAGAGATGCAAGAGCTGGAGAAGTTCGACACCATGCAGGTGATAAAGGGACAACAATTCAACTCTGCTCTGAAGGCAGATCTATTCAAGTGCAACAAAAAAATGAACACTACCGTCACACCCACCGAGCCCCACAGGGTGAGTTTGTTCTTTTTTTTTTATGTGTTTGTTTGTTTATTTCTCTTCTGGTGGCAGTGGGAGTCTTAGGGGATTGGAGCAGTTAATAATCCTTTTTATTTTTATCCCCTCAGGTACCTGTCAACGCAGCCGGCTTCTGAATGTCACTGGACCAAGGGTCTACACAGCAGGAGAATATCCTGGCTCGCACGCTTACGGAGCCTGGGGTCGTGATCCCAGACCAGAGGAAGGCAAAGAGAGCTGGTACTGGCTGGTGATGATGACTTCGAGTAACAGATACTCCAACTATGTTCGTTTTTACAGCAGTCTGAGTTCTCTCATCATTGGAGTGAGCGTCCCAGGTAAGGAACTCCTCTCTTCTTGTTGTTTTTTTCCCTCCCACATAATGCAAAAAAACCCTTACTGTTTTTACTGGGATCACTCTGAAGTTGGTAATAAAGTAGCTTATTAAATTGTTTGAATTTTCAAAGATGAAATAATTAACCCTAGAGGTTTGCTGTACTTTGGGTTACTGAAGGTGTTTGGAAAGGACCATGTACAGTGAGTTTGTTAGGTAACTACCTAACTGTACCTAAAATCGAGTTATGCAACCCTTTATAAAAGTGGCTTTAACATTTGGTAGCAAGTTATACTGATACTGTCACGGATTGCCGAGGCAAGCCGTGTGGGATTGTAGGAAAGGACCAAAAAGGCAGCAGCTCTGGTGCAGGTGAGTGTTTATTTACAGTGGTGGGTAAGTACAAACAGCGGTGGCGACAAAACATGAAACTAGAGACCTAAACTGGGTAAACTAAGAAGACAAACCAGAATGAGGATGCAGGGAGGTCCGGAGAAATACATACGGGAAGACGCAGGGAGACCAAGGGGAAACAACACAGAATGGCGGCGAGGAAAATAACGCAGACGAACCAGCAACTACCATGACAGAAGACACAACTTAAATACACTCAGAGAACACAGGGAGATTACACACAGGTGGGGAACACAGCTGGGAGTGATTACGTGACGAGAGTAGGGAGACAAACTGAAAACACACACATAAGACGCAGACCTTCACAATAAAACCGGAAACACATACACGCAATGACATAACACACCAACTTAACACAGACTGGGGGACACAGAACATATGAACATGAACCATGATAAACACCCCAAGGTGACCAAAACCACAGAATACTAATAAACTAAACATAAACACGGAGTCACAGACTCCGGATCATGACAGATACCAAGTATCAGTATTACGTTTTTTCAACAAGCAGCCCTTGTTCCAGTGCTGGTCCTGTACAGGTGCATAGACAGTTCTGCATTGGTTCCCAGCCCATGTTATCCTGGAGTGTTTTTACTAAATAATACTCACCTGCCATTGTTCTTAAGAACAATGTTTTGCAGTTTGTCTTAATTACTGATACATTTTTGTGAAGCAAATTATAGTTTTAAACTATTAACATATGTTTATTCCTTCTTTTTCATCTTCAGGTAACGTCCAGATCCACTCTTCAAACCCAACTACCAACACCATCCAGGGTCCAAATAATGTTCTGTATGGAGGGGCTTTGTACTACAACTGTTACAACCAAGATTATGTTTGTCGATTTAATCTCACCACTAAAAGTGTCACAACCTTACAACTACCAAAAGGCACCAGGTTTGTTACTCAACTTTGAAAATGTTAGTTTAAAGAATAACTATGACAGAAACTTTCACTGCTATCCTCTGTTAACCAGGTACAACTCAAAAGGTAACTTCTGCCATCTTGAGGAATGCTACCCATACACTGACCTGGACCTGGCAACAGATGAGTCTGGTGTCTGGGTGGTCTACACCACCACTCAGGACTTTGGCAACTTGGTTCTCTCCAAGCTAGAGGAGGGTGAAACACCAGTGCTTGGAAAGACCTGGCGCACTTCAGTCTACAAACAGTCAGTGACCAACACCTTCATAGCGTGTGGCGTTCTCTATGCGACACGTTACATTAACAGGGAGGTCGAGGAGATCTTTTACTCATTCAACACCGTGACGGGACAGGAGAAGTTCAACATTGGCATCTTCATGAACAAAATGTCTCCCAACATTCAAAGCCTAAATTACAGCCCTGTGGACCAGATGCTGCATGCTTACTGTGACTCCAACATGGTTTCCTACAAGGTGTTGTTTGGGTAAATTGATGTTGTTGTTTCATTTCTGCAAAATTGATTGATTTCTATAAAAGTCTGAAATTCAAATAGGTGCTCGAGTAAAACATGGTATAGCCAACACCGTTTTTCCTCAAGATGTTTCATGTTTAATGCATCACATTTCATAAACAATGTATTTCTCCATTAAGCTAATTCAACCAGTGCAAATAAAAGGTTCATCTTTGCCTTGTACTCTCTTTATTTAATAAAATCAATAATTTCCAGTGTAGTGGTTTTAATGTTCAGAGTCAGTCTAACTATGTTATTATATCTTTTTTTATGTAAACACACAAATGTCATATTCTCATAAAAGTCACAAGATTGTTGTTTTGAGATTTGTGGAGAAATCCTTGCAGTGACATTAGAGTAGCAGTTATCTAAATAAGTAAATTAAATTCAAACAGATTGTCAACTTGTTAGTACAACGTATTTACTGAAAGAAATCTCCGTCTGTGGATCGGGTTTCCTCCGAGGCGTGAGCACCTATCAGCAGAGATTGTCCATAACCTATAGAACTCAAAGAAATATTCTCAAGTAACAGTCAAATATGCCATTCAGCGTGTTAGTTACGACGTCGGGAGCAACTGGGAGAACAAAACGACACAGAAACTGTACGGGTTGCTTTCCCAAAATCAACTCAAAGGTTTATTCATCTTACAACAGTATATATAGAGGAAAAAGGTTCGTGTGTCAACAGATTCTCAGTTCAAACCGGTACAGACCAAATAAGGGAACGTCTTCCTGCCTTGTGAGCAAAGAAGTATCCTTTGTGTAGTTTATCAGTTCAGCTACAATTTATGATTATCCCAGCAAAATACACTCCTAGACATAGAATACAGAGTTCTTTCATTAGTGAATTCTGAAACGAACCACCTGGCCTTTAACAAGCTCCTTTCTAAGAGATAAGGAAGGGAGGATGGGAGTAAGGAAGTGATCTCTGTGGTGTTTTCAACCTTGAGGTACCATCCTGTGATTCTTACACATTAATTCTTAGGTTACAGAGAAAGAGAAAAACAACTAGTAAATGGGCCTTATTGAGTAACAGTTTTCCTGTATAATATCACTATAAAACAATATCCTGTAAATGCTACCATGGTATCAAAATATCACAACAGTTCCCTCCTTTTATCATGAAATGATAACATAGTATAAAGACAGAATGTAATAACATAATATAAAGACAAATCATAAATGTGAAAGAACCTAAATATATAAGAAAAACAGTTCTTCAGTCGTCTTCTGGCCTGGTCCCAGGTTCGAGAGACATAGAATAAGCGCTGTATGATGACAATGGGCATTTCATTTTCTCCATTATCAGGATGGAATGAGTCTAGCTTTATGAGATTAGACATCATGTGGTACTCTCGGCTTTCTCTTCCTGCTGGATGTTCGAGTACCTTGCTGTGGCTCTTTCAGACGTTGTGTGTTAATCAGTGATTGCGTGTGTGTAGGTGTATTAGATCCGGGCGCTGGCTCGCCGGAGACGTCGTCTGCTTGATCCGACGCCTGAGATGGTCTGGTTGGGCTGGTCTTAACCCTGCTGGCATGAATCCACTGAGGTTGTCCGTCTGTGAGGATGCTGGTTCTCGTCACTGCCAGTACAGTCTGGGGGCTGGAAAACGCGGCCTCCCCGAGTGTCCTTGGTTTTAGCAACTTCACCAACACCGCGTCTCCTGGCCTCCACTGATGAGTTGGAGCTGTGGAGGGGAGAGGCTGAGAGAGACAAACTTTCTGATAGTTATTATTCAGTGTTTCTACCAGATTGTGAACATAGTCGGACAATGCAGTGTCTATGTCCCCTTCCAATAGCGGTGCCCCTCTGGAAGCTGACCATGGTGTTGGAAACGGTCTTCCCATGATTATTTCAAATGGAGATAATTTGGTTGCTGCGGATGGAGTCATTCTAATTTTACAGAGGACTTGAGGAAGTAATTTGACCCAGGTCATTCCTGTTTCTATCATTGCTTTAGTCAGGCGATTTTTTATGGTCCTATTCATTCTTTCTACAACTCCTGAACTCTGAGGGTGGTATGGCACATGATATTTCCAGTCTATTCCTAGAGTTTTAGCACACTTTTGAATTACTTCTGATGTGAATGAAGGTCCTCTATCACTGTTAATTTGGTGAGGTATCCCGAATCTGGGTATTATTTCATTGCTCAACTTTTGACAGACTACTTCTGCAGTTTCTTTTGATGTTGGATAAGCTTCTACCCATTTACTAAATTGATCCACTATTACCAGTAAGTACTTGATGCTTCCTTGTGCTGGCATGTGTGTAAAATCAATTTGTAATGTATGAAATGGAAAATCTGGTTGTGGTAAATGCTGATGTTTTGCTTTTGGTCTCCCTACATTAGTTCGTGCACATGTTAGGCAGGTTGCTAATATGCTTTTTACTGCATGCAATGTTTTTTTCAATTACAAATCTTGATTTTATTGCATCTATTACCCCACTTTGTCCAACATGACTCACACCGTGAAAATGTCGGATAAGGACTGGCAGCAGGGAAGATGGGAGGGCAATCAAACCTTCAAGATTTTTGTATAAGCCATCTCTGTCATCTAAGGTACAGTCATTATTCTCCCAATAGGTGTAATCAGATGCAGAGGCCTGCTCTTGTATGAATTTTAAATCAACATTTGTGTCTAAATAGTCTGGGAGTGTAACAAGTGGCAGCTGTAGGGGCACAGATAATACTTCCTGCGGAGGTGGGAGCTGCGATGCAGCTGCAGCCTTGGCTGTCACGTCTGCTAGGGCATTATCTGTTGCTTCGTCTGTGTCAGCTGTACTGTGTCCTCTCGTTTTCACAACTGCAACGGCCGATGGTAGTTGTATAGCCTGCAAAAGTCTTTGCACAAGATCAGAATTAGCGATCGGTTTTCCGTCAGCCGATCTAAATCCTCTTTGTCTCCACAATGTGCCAAAGTCGTGTACGACGCCAAACACATAGCGGCTGTCTGTGTAAATTGTCACACGCCTATCCAAATGGAGCTCACAGGCGCGTATTAAAGCCATGAGCTCTACTTTTTGTGCTGAGTGAAATGGTAATGAGTGAGCCTCTAGTATGATGTCAGGCAATGTCACCACTGAATAGCCACAAAGAAATGAGTTGTCATTCGGCCTTGAACAGGACCCGTCCACATAAACCGTGGCTGAGTCTGGGATAGGTGTTTGCTCTAGATCTGGACGTGGTGCTGTGGATTCCTGTATGCGTGTCATGCAGTCATGAACGTCAAGCCTGTCTGAGCCATCCTGGTAGTGGCATCTGTACACGTGTTTGACACAGTGTGTGACGTGGAGTACCGGACAAAAAGATGTTGATTTCATTCTCTGCTGAGGCGTCCAGCTGACACAGAGGCTGTTCCTTCTCCATGATGTCGGTGCATAGGGCCGAAAAAACATAAGCTGTTATCAGTGTCAGCAAACATTTCACCCTTTGTGTTAAATGAAATACACAAATTCATTTTTGCTCTGGGTGTCTGCGGCTGCTGGAAAACGGAGCCAAATTTGCACCTCTAGCTTGTCTACCTTGTGGATTAAAATTCACTGGCCTTCAGTTTTACAAGCTTTAAGAAAGCATCTTTACTCAGTTCGTAGAGATTATCAGTAGCTGTCACTTTTAGCAACTGAGAGCATTCAGGGTGGATATTGTTCAAAAAGGTAGTAATGAAAATCTGATCATTTCCATCCTCTGGCATGCATGCCTCATTAGCCCAACAGTGCATAAAGCGTTTTATGAATACTAGGATAGATTCATCAGGCTTCTGTTTACACATTGTTACTGCATTTAAGTCAATTTTGTCTCTGGACATTGTTAACAGGAATCTCTTTAGATTCCTGAAGAAACCGGTGATTTTGTCATCATCTACCCACAAGAACTCTGCAGTTGTGGATGCTTTATCATGCTTTGGATCTAATTCACCTATCTCTCCTATGAGTTGTGACTCGGTTACTCCAGGAATGCATTGACACAATATGTACCTGTAATCCGGACCACCCAAGTGGTGATACCTGGTACTTCTCTGTAATGCAAAGACAAAGGCTGTAGGATTTTTAAGAGGATCAGGAAGCTCTTTAATAGTTACCACTAATTCTGAGATTTTAGGGGGCTGAATACAACACTGATCTCCTATTATCATAAAGGGGTAAGTGTCATTGACGTCACTAGATTTTAATTCTGATTGTTTGCGAGTGTTGGTGTAAGGACCTTTGTCATTCTGGCTTTGTTTTTCCTTTTTTCCTTTTAGATAAGTCTTTATTAAAGTTCTGGTAATAGGTATTTCTTTAGCTACCTCTAAACCTCTAGCCACGATATCGTGGCGTTTCATGTGGGTGTCTATTATGGACACTGCCTGATGCAAAAGTTTTTCTTCACAGTCGTCTAAATTGCTTTTCATAAGTTCCTCACATTCTTCTTTCAAAAGTTTTTCTCTTTTCCTATGTTCTGCTAATTCTTCCTCGCGGCGTATATATTGATTTTCCTGGTCCTGTTCAAGGAGATGGCTAAGATTCGTTGCATCTGATTCAGGTTTTTTGTCACTTTCTTTTAAGCTGGTTAGATCAGAATGTTGACGTTGTGTGCGTGCAGCTGCTACAGCGACTATTAATTCGGTCTCATCTTCGTAAGGGGGTGGGGCCGTAGGCAGAACGGCTGGACATGCAAGACTAGCTTTTCCTGTGGTAGATTTATTTTCTATGCTAGAGCCTGCACTAGTTTTATTTGATGTTAAAGCATCTATACCTGGTTCCGGTCCCTTTTTCCATAGTGATAATATTCGATGTATCACGTCACGACATTCTATCATATATTTTCTACAGGATTTTTTAAGCAGACTACTTTTCTTATCGCAAATGATATTCAACATTTCTACTGACCTGTTTTCTGGCGATAATCGTTCGGGATAGGGCTCCGGAAATAAATTAGAATGCATTGAACTTACAGTTCTTAAGTTGTAGACAAAGTCAGTCATGTAAGCACTTCCACATGTTCTGGATACGTAATCATGAAAGTCTTCACCGATTCGCGGACGTGGATTACACGTGACCGGAAGTGGGAGTCGTACTGAGCCGTTATTTGTGACTTTATATTTTATTTTATTTTGTTTTGCAGTTAATTTCGATTTTTTTTTCGGACCTGTCTGAGGTCTTTTAATTATTCTGACCCATGTTCAGTGATTTCCAGAGGGGTTTACACGCTTGAAGGATTTATGTTA